TGTAATTTTGAACTTGTGCAACGTATTTAAATTAATGAATTATTTGAAGGCAAGTCCTAGTTCCATAACTTCGAAGTTAATAAGTTGGATGAAAAGAACAAAATAAAAAAAAAAGAAATAAACACTCACAACCCAAAATAACAAACTGCTAGTTGTTTATCAAGTAGAATAATAATTGGTTACGTTTGGGTGTCATGCAGTGTATATCCTCCGAAAAATTCATTTTAAAATATCAAAATTGTTTATCGTCTGGCCTTTTAGGCCTACGAGACACATGCCAGGCAAATCCTTTAAATTATTAAATAAGTTAAAACTTATAATAAATACCATATTATTAAACATATATTATGCAACAGCTAAATCTGCCTATTGTAGGTCTTTCTTTAGGCCTTATATGTTATCTAAATTATTAATTAGACATTAATTAACTTATCCAGACCATAATCAACTCTCGGTGTCATCGCGAGCCTGCGTTATTTACTGGATTAGGATCTAAATTGCTGCTCAACTTTCATTCATGATATAATCATGAAATGGATAATTGAGACTATGTTTTTATCGCTAAATTCTCGGTTCAGAGTAGATCAATTTGACTGAAATTTTCGTCAAATTCCCTTTACATTGAACTAACTGCCAGCTCTTTATATAATCTCCCATAATGTATCTTTAACATATACTGCCAATCATCCACTAAGATATTTTCTATGACATGTTCGTAACCGGGGTAGCTAATATTACAAGAGTCGAGTTGCTCATCAGGGAACATAACTAGACAATTTGTGTCAAAGTTGGGATTGCGAGATTTATGATGGCCGCGACATTCCATACATTTACTCTCAGATCCAAGTAACATTCACAAGTACAAAGAAGAGGGTCTCATTCTCTACAATGGACGTGTTTTGATAGTTACATTTTCTATCTGTTAGGTTCAGTGGTAAATAGCCCAGTTTTTAAAGGGACAATAACACTCTTGCTGGCTTGACAGCTCCAGAAAATAAAAAATAGCCTTATTCTAAGTACTAGATGTGTTAGTGTGCAACCTGTTGTGTAAATTATCCATTAAATCCTATTTTACTTGTCCAGAGGGTTCAAAAATATTTTTAAATCTAAGTCTCATTTGAAAAGCTTTACGTCAGGCTTTTCAAATCATTTAGTTGAATTTTTCCAATTTTTTAAATTAGGTGTGTTAAGATGAAATTTGTATCATCAATTAATTGGAATGTTGTAAAATAGTGCAATTTGTTGACCAGAACAAAGATTGGGACATATTATTCAGTTACAATAAGAGTGGTATTGAGACTTTAAAACCCTGCATCAATAGACACAATAACAGCGGTTATATTAATTGTATATTAGTTCTTGGGTTCCAGCCCAGTTAGTATGGGGACTATCATCATTATCAGGACAGCTTAAATACCCATAAACGAACCAGGTCCCTCGCTGACTCAGTAAGGCGGAGTTTGCCTAGAAAGTTCTTCCGGGTTTTTCAACAGGAGTTCTTCTTGTGAGAGGCGCAGGACGAAGAGCATGGCAAGGAACTGCGCCTGGTCGTTCGGATGGTACGAAAATGCGAGTCCTGTGCACACGTTGGTGTGCACGTAAAAGAACCCTTGCAAGTTAGAATTCGGTCACGAATACGCGGAGACTCTGCTGTCCGAGTACAATCTGCCCCAAAGATTGTTGACTAATGAAAGTATAAGAGGATTGGGGTCTTTAATGGACCTTTAACGTGCAGCAACCAAAACACATCCTCGAGTACCAGGGAACTAACACTACCTTGACAAATTCTCAATTGTGGATGTTTGAGTGGTGTCAAAGCAATTTCTTCATTCAATTACCTAGTTCTCAACCATATGATTAAACTTAAAACTTTGGTTTCCGAATCATTTTAGATCATACCAAATGTGAATTTTCGCCCCATTCTGCCAAATCTCTGCTCAATAGAACATGTCATTCCATTGTTAGCTTAAATTTTATCCCCCGTATTTTCTTTGCTTTCAAAGGGTACATCATGCAATTTATATCTAAAATCTAAGGTCAAGTACCGTTCATCCCATCAATATCTTTCAGGATTTCAATCTTGAAGATATATTTTTTTATATGCTCAGACTTAATTTTCGCTATTTGACATCAAGTGCAATTCTCGAATATATATGGCTCGTTTGTCGAAAGCCGCAGGAAGCCGAATGGGGCCGCATTAACCTTTAAACCTTAACAAAGTATGAAATAAAAATCAGGCGAGTCTGCAATACTGTTATTTATTGGCTATTACCATCGGAAATAAAAGTCATTCTTGTCTCTTAACACGATAATGCTCTATAATATGCCCCCAGCCTTCCATATACAATCAGTTAACATTATAAACGTATCCATTACTTATATTTATTCGAATCTTACATACCATCCCCGAGCACAGTAAGTAGACAAAGAAAATAGCTTAATAGCCCAAAATGATCGGGCGGTCTTCTCTCTTTAAGACGTGAATTATTTCTTCGGTAAGATGAAAATAATTAGTAGTGCTATAAAGAAGCAATATTGTCAGGCTTTTGTTAGCATAGTAAGTCGTGGGACAATTGCTTTTGTTAGCATAGTAAGTCGTGGGACAATTGACCACTGCTGAAGACAATTGCCCAACTGCTGTTCAAGACAATTGTCCAACTGCTGAAGACAATTGCCCCACTGAAGAATATTAACCCACTGCTTTGTTAAAACAGTGGGGCAATAACTATGTGTATCATGCGTTCCTAGTACTATTTGAGGGATACAGTACCAATTTTAGGTTTAGGTACAATATTCTTGAAAAAGTAGATTTTATCCTTAGTAGGCGTTGCTTAAAGGTTTCAATACAATGTATATCTCATTCGTGTTGACAGTTAACTCTGAAGTCCTAGTCTGAGTACGCGGGAGGTGTTACAGGCGACCCGACCCTTCTCCTTGTCACGTACAAGCGGTGAATCGAAACTACGCCACTTGACAGACCATTTAATTAAATGAGCACACGTTAATCATTCGTTTACCTAACACTTTCCCCGACACTTTAATTAAATCTACATTTATCAAACTGAAAACTCAAATTATAAAAATACTTGGCAACTAAACTAATAGGTGTTTACGATGACGTTGTCAAGAGGAGATAATCAACGGACATTATTTGAGAATAAACTACTAGATTTTCTTAATTTAGTATGATGAAAGACTCAGAAATTCTTCTATTTTACGAATAATTGCTATTTTAAGAGAAACTGTATGGCATATTACTGTATTCATTATCCCAGTCAGAGCAGAACAGTAGGACGTTAAACCTAATTTCATTTCATGTCAATCAACACCGATATATACCTACGCATCTTTACTTTTCTACATCAGAGCCACGGAAATTTATTTCTTGAGCTGTCTTTTGAGATGGTAATCCGTTTATGAGATTATCAGATTAACATGTTACATCATGTTATAATCTGTGGCGCAGTGGGTAAGGCACTGGCAAATTACTAACCGGAAGATCCGCGTTCGATCGCGTTTTGGGCCGAGGTTTTCCAGTCTGGTATCATTTTGGCAACGGAAGCTCTGGCCAGTATCTAGTCGTTCGAATGGTACAAAAAGGTGAATATTCATTTACACGTCAATGAATCCATGAATGTTGGTATCTGACGAAGAGTAGGCGCCGTTGTCCAGACAAGAGTTCCCCCAGGACACACTGTAGAACAGCTGAACGTCAGGTTACCCCGCTTTTTATTACATTTCATTTTCTACCAAAGGAGTTTCTACAGACACGTTAAGTTATAATATAGTTGCCTTGTAATGTTATTAATACTACTAGTGCGTCCCTAGAGGTGTATCATTATAGTTGATATCATCACGGTTATAGCCAGTTGAATACCTAGCTTATCTATATAACAACCTTATGACATGAGCACCGCTTGATTAAAAATATATGTATGCAGAGAGAAATAGAGAGAGAGAGAGAGAGAGAGAGAGAGAGAGAGAGTAACGTCCGCTCTCATATACAAGGTCATTTCGGGAGGGGGAGGGAGTTCATTTCGGGACTAGCATAATCTGGTTGCGCGAAAGGGTCTCCCCCCACTGAGAAAAGAACAATATGGTAGTCCCGAAATGTGGAGTATGCCTATCTTAGCACTAAATTAACACATTTATGTTAAACTCGTAGAGGTAAAAAAAACAAGGCTAGATTGAAACGTCTTGGTCGTTAAACGCTAAATTAAATTAATGGGTCGAAATTCATTCTATAACTATTAACGGAAAAGGTAGAGAATTGGGAATTGAATTCCAAAATATCTCTTTCGTATTATAAAGAAGACTATTTCCATATAATGTTTCGTTTTAGTTTCCGTTTCCGTTGGCGGAATTTAGGGTGTAAGGCTATCGGTAGTTCGAAATGGGGAGTGACATATGTCTGATGACAATACACTTCGGGGATATACAACTTCGGTTTCACAAAAACAAAATAAAACAGTAATGGAAGGAAACCGTTTCCGTTTCTATTGACAGAATTTAGGGTATAAGGCTATCGGTAGTTCGAAATGGGGAGTGACATAAAACCGTAGAACCCGGGGAAAACTCATGAGGTTGGACAGGCGACTCTACACATTAGCGTTCATTAAAAGAATCATTGACTGCTGGAATCCGATTCACTGGCCCAGTTGCTACATTTTAATTTGTTGCATACCAAAAACTTATGCTTGTAAAATAAACTACTCCTCCTTGTCACGTACAAGTTGCGAATTGAAACCATGCTACTTGCCTCAATGACAGACCTTGTTATCTAAAGCGCCACCCAACCCTCGTCAATAATATTTCAATCATTCGCTTGCGCGTAAGGGTCATAAGGGTGGGGTTTCTTTTTTTTGGGGGGGGGGGCGGAGGAAATCCACGGGGTTGGGCAGGCGACCATACTGCTCACGTACACGCGGTGAATCAAAACCACGCCACAGAGTGGAAATGTATGAAAGGTAAATATATGAAGTAAAATATAATTAGCTTACCTGTCTATAGCTATGGCCATAAAGGTAAGAACACTAACAGATATAGTGCACGGGGAAATAAACATGGAAAACTTGCAGTAGTCTTCTCCAAACCACCAATCTTGATATAAGATAAATATAAAATTAAACAGAGTGTTGAAGATGGACATCAACGCATCAGCAACCGCCAAGTTGACAAGGAAATAATTCGTAACTGTTCGCATTCGTTTATGGGCTAAAACAATCCAGATCACAATAATATTACCACCTGCGGCCACCCCAAACATTACCACAAACAAAGCAATAAATATTAACTGTTGCCACCATGGCAATATATAGTCCGGTTCCGACACCGTAGAATTTGTCGGATACGTGGTAGCATTTTGAACAATTTCCGCAAGCTTCGAGATATTATTTGCCTGGTGCGTTGAACTGAGAGAAATCAACCCGCTACTTTCCATGTTTGAGATCTTTGAAAGTTCATAAACCTGCGGTGATAAATCACTGAAATTTAGCAATGTTCCGTAATCCAGCTGCCTTCTGATATAGAAGTAATTGTCTGATAAGTACTTTCTTATATATATACGGTGCGGGTATTGGTTGATAGCCAACAGAAGTTATTAGCGCTTGTTAAGCTTCATTAATGTTGAATAAACTGAAGGTAGGAATCGTGGAGTTCCCAATCCTTTTGGCTCGCACTTTACTGCAGAGAGAGTTCTATTATGATAATCTGTGCGTCAACAGTTTGTAGTATCGACTCAAAACTCAGGATTCAGCAGATGTTCTCGAGATAGATCTCTGTCTGAAAAATAAAAATTAAAATTGCAATTTAAAAACACGTAACACTTGCACGTCGGACGTTAAAGGACTGTAGTTATTTATTGCCGAAACATCACATAATGCTTTAGTAGATAAATGTTGGTATAACAATAGGCTCAGTGAGTACAGCACTGGATCACTAACTAGGAGGTTCAGGTTGCGATTCTGGTGCTAGCTGAGAAAGTTCCTTGCTACTGGTGCACGGATGCGACGTAAAACCGGTCACGTTTACACATTAGCGATCATTAAACATACATTATGCAAGAGCTAAATCTGTCTATTGCAGGTCTTTCTTTAGGCCTGGAATGTTATCTAACTTATTAATTAGACATTAATTAACCTATCCAGATCATAGCCAACTCTAGATGGCAGCGCTAGCCTGCGATCTTTAGTGGATTATGAGCCGATTTACTGCATAACTTTCCTTCACGATTTAACGATTAAATGGATAATCGAGACTATGCTGTTTATCGTGCTGACTTTAGTAATAATGATCGAGGCTAGGCAGAAATTTCATTCGCTTAGTTCTCGGTTCATAGTGGATCAATTTGAATGAAATTTTCATTGCGAATCGAAATCATGGCACTTGCCTCAATGACAGACCTTGTGATCTAAAACGCCACCAAACCCCTGTCAATAATATTTCTTTTTGAGGGGGTGGGTGGGGGCGGAAGACTCGGAGGAAACCCACGAGGTTGGGCAGACAATTATGCTACTTCTCACGTACAAGCGGGGCGAAATAGCACCACTCAGTTACAGACGTTAAAAAATTCGCCCACCCAAACCCATCAATTTCGCAAGGACGTAGTTCCAAAATACTCATTCAATCTGTACTCAGAGACAAATGTACACTACCTGTGAAGTGAAAAATGTTCAGAATAATTTATTTTAACATATATCTTAACGCCCATCCAGACATATATATGCCATTAAAATAGATGTTATTCCGTAATGTGAGACAATAACAGGTGAAAGGGAGTAAAGCGTTTAATCACAATAATAATGGTAGGAATTCTCGAATTCAGATAAACTCCGAGGCTATTTACCCTCATTCCCACCTGTTCTTAACACAACCGGAAATGACATAATAGCTTTTGTATATTCAAGATATCTGGTCGTTGTATTTACATTCTCCATATGCTGATTTGTCTGCAGGCATTTTTTTTTCATTTATATAAAAGCTTTACAGATAGAAGGAATTAATACATAAAAGCAAAATGTATCTGCTTGTACATGTACTCGGAAAAATTAGTAATGGCGACCTGCATGTAATACGTGGCGGGAAATTCCGTTCCTGTTTTATAAATGAAATGGGGTTTAACGTCCTACTTTTCTGCACCGACTGGCTTAATGAAGATGGCCATTATTCCAGTCGGTGCAGAAAAGTAGGACGTTAAACCCCATAGAAACATTTTAGTTCATAAAGTTTAAAATCCCCGTGTAATAAAATTGCTTTTCAAAATCCAATATGTCTTGACGGACGTGTAACAGATTCTATTTTCAGTTGTCTGTTAAAGATGTTTGATAAAAAACAACGACATGGAGTTCTGGGTTGTATCTTCTTGTCATTACTAACTGAAATATACATCGAGCTACGGTGTAACAACAAACTATGGAGGACCAACTGGGACAGGCCCATTACATTAAATATATATGAATGACATTGCCTTAGGCCCGAATTTCATGTACGCGCTTCCGAGCGCCATTTTTTTTTGTATTCGCATGTGTACAAAGAAGTCGCTGAAAGGTTTGGGGAAAACCAGGATTTCTCTTTACACCTACTATGTTAACCTGCATACCTATATATATAAAAACACGTGAACTGCGCGTGTAAAGTCGCCGCCTTTTTATAATAACACCATGTCCAAAAAATCTGGCATTTGCAGCCTGATTTGCAGAAACAAGGGTGGTTGCTTGACTTAGTTTGTGCGGCAAAACGTAAACGTACGCATGTGCACACTTCGCGCGAGAAAAAACGCCAGCGAAAGAGCGGTCCCATTACATTAACATTGGACCGACTACAAACTATGAGGGGGCAACTGGGACAGGCCCTTTACATTAATTTAGTACATGGGTCTGTTGCGTTATACTGTTCGGGTGGATATAAAAATATATGCTTGTTTATCTCTTTAATAGTTTTCTCAGCTATCGAACGCGGTACTCATAATATATCTTTTTTATCAAATGTTATCTGGTCCCGAGTTCAAAAAGCATTCTCAGACTTAAGAATTTACTGAAAATTGTTCGCCTTATTTTAACTGAAATATAGCCCCTTATAACCCTTTCGTTGTTTTAATGTATCAAATACATCAATAAGAAACTATGTGCAAACTTTTGTGTTTCTGGATCGAAGATATTTCTCATAAACAGTGTTTGAAAGATGAGTAAATTCTTAAGTCTGAGAATGCTTTGTGAACTCTGGGCCTCATATTGAATCCATTGTGAATCTAATCAAGGAGAACGTGCATGACACTCAGACGAATCCACTGGTAAAAGCACATATTTTATTATTAGTATACACGAATCCATTGCCGTATAATAGCAGACTACTTGGTATGGATACAATTACTATACTTTATTACACTACAACATTTCAGCCAGATTTCACGTCGTTTCCAAGCCAAAAGCTAAAGCACAATTAATGCAACATATCACGAGTGGATTACATATAGATGTACAATTGCTGCATCTATTGCAGTAATGGGCGATATCTTAAATATAATAAACTTAAACTTTAACAAAAAAAATGTGAATACAATTTCCATCTATCTCATATAATAATATCGTTTAAAAAGATAAAACCACAGTCAACATATTCTTTAAAACCAATTACTGTCATAACAAGTCTACCCCATCGTCTCTCCCACATAAACTTCAATTAAAATGGGAATACACTCTCAGCGGATCTAATAAAACCGTTAATAAAATCCAACTACGCGCAATATACGTATTAAAATCAATTACTTTAATGACAAATCTACCCCGCCATTGCCCCCCACTCCCACATCTGTTTAATGTGCGGCCTTATCGGATAAGGGGGAAAGCTATGTATTACTTTTCAGTCAATTAAGGAAATAACTGATTAAATGGAATCATAGGTCCATGATGGAATTGATTAATATAATTAGTGAAATTAATACGATTAATACACATATACCACACATAATATATTATAATCTTTATATAATCACGGGTTATAATACGATAATTGATAATGATAACAGAAGCATGTAATATTCGTTGAAGGTTATAATGGCATCCACACAAAATTCCACTATGTCATGATAAGGCCAAAATAACAAAAATACGTGTAAATATCTGTGTGTGCGTTTACCCGACCGTCCCTATTATTGTTACTCAAAATCGCCAGCCCTGGACTTTTTTGGCGTGATATTCTCTATACAAATTCCAACATAGAAATTTCATATCATTTTCAAGAACCTTACTCAGTAATTAAGCTAAAATGTTAAGAAATAGATAACACAAACCCTGTGAAAAAAAATAAATAAAATAACTAAGTAACCGTAAACACAGATTGTTATTCCTTGGCCTAACATACTAATATTGTAATAATGAATACACAAAAAACAACATCTGCATCAAGAACAATAATGAACATATGTGTTTAGTATGCATATTATTTAACACATTTAGCAGTTGTTCTATATTTTTCAAATTTCTGTGTTTTTATGATAACGATAACTTGTGTAATTCTATGAATATCAAAATACGAATTTCGCCAAAGTCAAGAACAACAGTGGCAATCGATCGTGTCTGTTAATCTTGAGAACTAATATTTGTCGTAGGTTCATCCGGATCTTTCGGTTTACTCCCACAATAAAAGTTCCTTACGCGCAAGCGAATTATTGAAATAAATTTGAACCATATGTTAGTCCTGAAAAAACCTAGTGTGTGTCGCGTGGACGTTAAATCTGACTTCTTTCTCCCTCTGTCCAATGGCGGCCTTACTGTCAAAACATATTACAAACTAAAGGAATTATAAAGTATCCAATTTTTCAACATGTCAATTGTTGCTTGAGCGATACGTAGTATTAATCTACCATCAATCATTTTATAATGAACATGCTGATAGCTGCCATTTTAAAATGTCATAACCGATGGTTGAAAAGTGTGCTTTAAGAGTGTTCTATTTAATAAAGTGTTTTTTGATAACAATAACCCCAATAAGAAATATAAGAAGGCGGTGACAGCATCTTCTTTTACATTTTCAATAATCGTGTTTGTTGTGTTGCATCCGCTTCTATTTGTATGTGTGTGATGATACTATGTGTATTAAAATGTGATCAGCACGATACTTACAATACAATACAAATTATATGTTAATAATGAAAAACAGTAGATACACTATATACAAGATACATAAAACCCATACTTAGCTAAATAGACCTAAAGTATTATAGTTTGTAATAATAATAATAATAATAATTTAAATTCCTTTAGTTAAATTGAAATTTGATTGAACTGTTGTAAAGATCAGATTACTAATTACGTTGTTGGAGTCATGTAGCCCGTAGAGTAGAGGTTTGCTATTCTTATACTCATGAGATAATGTAGAAATGGTTTTTCGTCGAAAAATTTTGACGTTTTGATAGTGTAAAAGATAGTGTCCACTATCCTCGAAAGGGAGAAAACATTTGCAAGCTGGATTTCAAAGATGTGTCTAAAAACCGTGTAACCATTTAAGTCACTGCATGAAAGTCGTGGTTTGCTGCGGATAATTTCAATTTTTCTAGAACCAATGTTTTTGGGGTTTGGAGTCTTGTTCGGAGTGTTTTTGTTTAAAAGAGACTTTGTTGATCGTTTTGTGGACTGGTCTAACCGGTTCCATTCCTTTATTGACAGATGGTACAAATGAGTTGGAAAATAATTTCGTTCTACACCGATATTCAGTGAAGTCATTTATATTTCTAAAATTGTACGAATATTTTCTAGAAGGTGGAAAAAGTGTAGAAAGATAATTGG